TCCCTGCCGCTGGTCTGTCTTTGTGTGGGTGTAGGGAACTTTATGGTCATTGCTGCTGCAGCAGACTATGCCTTCAGGGCAGGCCCAAGAGCATTGGTAGAGCTGTGCAGCTTTTATGAGTCTGAAATTGCAATTCATCGTGAGACTCAAGTTATCATTATAATAAAGCAACTTTCAAACCCTTATGCCTGCAGAGAGAATTTTGGAAGTGTGTGACCAAACATAATTTCCAGAGTCTGGTGTGAAAGGAGCTCACTGGTTGTTGCCTCTACTCATTTCTCCAGTTACGAAGCCTAGTATTACCTGGTAGGAGGTGACGGAAATCTGTGACATAGCTGCCTGTCCAGGTCCGTGCTGGATTGCATGCCATCTCCAGCTCGTAGGGTGTGACCACAGGCCGGTAGAAGTCAGCTGAATCAAGCAAAGAGTTCTGTGGGCAGGCTACCAACACAAAAATGTCCACCTCTAGAAAGTTTGCCAGCTTTGCAGGGTTGGGTTTACCCACAGCCAAGGTATAGGCCCGTTTGCCTGCCCGCTGAATGATGCCACGCAGATGCTCCAGAACAGACAAGTAGTCTGCCACACCAAGAGTGCCCACCACAATGCCCACTACTTGGGCATCCCGTGCCCGCTCCACTAGATAAAGGCGTCGCCTCAGGGCCCGGTTCACATCCAATGTTTCCCGTCGGCCTTGTCCTGTCTGAGGATTAAAGGAGCTGAAGGGACACCGGTTCCAGCTCAGCATGAAGTTTGTGAGTTCTGGGCCTTCACAACCCACGTAGAACATGGCGTAGTTGTCAAGACCATGCTGACTGTCTATTACAAAGTGCCGCCCAAATTTCTGCACCAGCCCGGGAACTGGCTGAAGTTCCTTGTTATCCAGTTGAGAGAAAACTACATTGGGATAAATGGGGTGCAGCTGAGAGGCCAGGTTATCTGAGGGGAAGAGAAATGAAAAGTCATTCAATTTAGAGACAATAACTGTCACATCTCACTGTTCCAAATACTCAGCAGGCCTCTTCCATGGACAGGGAATGGCCCTTGTGCTAGACAATAGGTCTAAAGCTGTGATGGGGAACTCCTATCAGCCTCATGCAGCATAGCCAGTGGTCAGGGATGATGAGAGTTCTAGTCGAACAACATCTGGAGAGCAATAGGTTCCCCATCCCTGATTTAAAGGATGTAAACAGAGGGGAGTTAACTGAAAGCTAATATTACAAGGAAATATTACTTCTGTGGTCCTTTAAAAGAGAACAACCCCTCCAGCCGCCAAATCAGAAATATAAATTGGAACATTGACAGGAGTACTGTTTTGACTTTTCTCATTTTCATAGAATCATAGAACTTACAAAAGCCTCTTTGGCAGGTATCTGTGCATTAACTGACCACATTCCTAGTTCATTCAAACTACAAAGGAGTAAACTGCACTGATTAATTTATGTGGTTTTGCCTTTGAACATTAGCATGCAGGTCTATTAGCTTTGCTCTGAAGAATGTTATTGTTGAGGAAACTGCAAACTAGTATCCTAGTGGCAAATGAGGTGGGGAGCACAGAGAGAAATAGGCATTTCCTGGTTAATCCAGCCCTGAGGATAGTAGAGAGGGTTAAAAGCTGGGACTGAGTAACATTGGAAGGCAGATAAGACATAAAGGGCAGGACTGGCAAGGAGAGCACTTGTTTGCGGTTAGAGGATGCCCACTGTAGCTTTTTCCCATCCTGGCCTGATGTATCTTTTGAATACCACCCACCACCAACATTGTGATCCCCATGGTCTCACCTAGAGAATGAAAATAGGCCACTTCATTCAGCACAACCACATGAGCTAGGGGGTCTGGATACAACTCCCGGAAGACTTCTGTGCAGCGCGCCACGTCTAGTTGTTTGCGGCCAAACACATGGAGCACGGGCAGCTTGCGGCAGGGACTCAAGCAGGCAGGGCCGTAGTGCACCACAGCCTCAGCGCCCACGTGCTCTGCTGCCACTTCATCCACGCAACAGCTAAAGAAAAGCAACAGCATTAGCTATAGAGGGCAGCTTTCCTCAAAACACCTACCACTTCTAGCACACACAAAAATGCTTCCTTTGTAGTAAATGGGTTGCCATTGTAGAGACTGGATTTCCCCTGTCACCAGCTCACTCAGCATGCAAGGATCCCCAGGCCTGACAGCAGATGATAAAAATACTCTGTTACCAACACCCAAGATGCAGGAACTGGGGAGCAACTAATGATCCCAAAGTCCTACTCTCTTGTCATAAATAGTCCCCCCACCCCAGCAGAGGCAGTCAAGAGACTGCTGAACATCCAGAGGCTGACATATTACTACAGAACCCCTTGAAAATGCAAGCCTGCACTATAGTCCTATGCATGTTCTTAGCACTAAGTTCCATGTTTTCAATGAGGCTTACTCCCAAGTGTCTATAGGACTATGGCCTGAGCTTCTATCGTGTGTTTATGTGGAAGGAGGTTCCTACTGTGACCTCACCTGCCATATGATGTGTCCCCCAGAATGTACATTTTGGCGCCAGTTGCTGCTTCCATCTTCCTAGCAATGCTTGCTGAATCTGGCAAGAGTTCATCGGAAAACTGAAGAGCAACCTACAAAACAAACCCAAGATAATTATTCAGGACATGTCCACTGTACACAGCTAGCAGTACTGTGGGTTTCCTGGGGAATTAGGTTTTGAAGAAAAAGGTCCCATCCACATGGACAGGGTTTTTTCTTGTAAGTCTAATTGCCATGAGGGGAGGGGTTTGAAGGGTGAGGGTGGCAGCACTGGGGAGAGGGTTAATTTACCCCTCCATCTGCATTGTGACTCCCTCAAAAACCTGCATACTGAGTGAAATGAATTTCCTCTAAGCTTAATTGCAGCAGGGAAGGGCAAAGAGAAAAGCAAAAAAAGGAGGAAGAATGGGTGGGGAGAGAGAATAGAATGGATGGACATACATGTGTAAGCAGTGATGTGGGTTTGTCAGTTCTGAACTGGGGAAAAATCCTTTGAAAATTAGGATAGTGTGAACAGGGCAATATGTGATGCCCTAGAACACTGGCCTTCAACAGATGGACTTGGACCCACTGCTGGGTCACGGCCTGATCCAAGATGGGTCACAACAGGAGCATTACCACCATGCAAATATATGATAAAAGATTAAGAAATGGGTTTCCATATGCATGTTGGGGTTAAAAGTGGGTCCTGGGTCTGAAAAGGTTGAAGAATACCTGCCTTAGAGAATGGTCTAATTTTTTTTTTTTTTTTACTTGTATTTAGCAAACAAGAGCTAAAAACTTGAAACTGCCAAGTTTGCCTAATGCTGTATTTGCAGCTGGCATCCATTCATTGTTGATCATGACCTTATGAAACATATTTTTTCCTTGTGGAAAAATAAAGCACCAAAAAGTACCTCACATCACTGGTGAAAAGGAAAAGGTGGGGGGAGAAGAGATGTGCCTTGGGCAGCCTCAGCTCTCCCATCGCTGGCATGTTCCCCCTGGGAGATGTGGCCCTTGGGGGAAGATTCCACATCTCAGCCTTAAATACTGTAGTGTGTGAGCTGTTTCTACATATTTATTTGTTTGACATACTTGGTAAACAAAACCTTTTTAAAGTCCCCCATATTTAGTGCCCCAATACTTGAATATTTGGGGCGGGGATGTCCACTAACTCTAGGGGAAGAACTGACATTCATGCCTGTAGCTTTCTGGCAAAGGGCAAACTACTGTCTCACCTTAGTGAAGCCATTATCAGATACAAATGCAGCTGCTCTCTCCAGTTCATAGAACTCTTCCAGCCTGGTGGTTGGGGGACGTCCACTTGCTTCTGCAGGAATCACGGTCCGCTGCATAACCTCAGCACCATCACTGCTGAATGCTGTTGCCATGGTGGCCTATATCCAAACTACAAAAATACAAAGTGATGCCCGTCCGCATTGCAATATCCCACTACTAGCAAGATGCTGGATGAGAATGGTCCTGAGCTTCAGTTCTCCAAGGTCACATTTGCAGGATCAGATTCTGTATGAATCAGTAGGGAACCGACATAGCTAAAACCCTTTGTATCCATGCTTCTAATTACTAACACTGATTAGAATGCCTCCTTCGTTCAGAAACATGCACTGAAATAGGAGAGAGACAAGAAAATGGCACTGAAGCGGCCTGGGAAACAGCAGAACTCAGGAAGGCTCCTTACACAAAGACAGAACACCGGTCTCTCTAGTTCAGGCATAGGCAAACTCTGTCCTCCAGAAGTTTTGAGACTACAATTCCCATCATCCCTGACCACTGGTCCTGTTAGCTAGGGATGGTGGTGGTTGTAGTCCCAAAAATCTGGAGGGCCGAGTTTGGAAGACACTAGTGCCTTTGGGAAGCTACTGAAAAGTTCTATGTTTGTCAAGAACGACGAGACTGCATTTCGGCAGAATGCATTTCTTTCTAAATTACAGGATGGTTAGAAATGAACAGAGAATTTAAAACAAATCTAGGAAACCACATCTATGTGCTACACAAAACAAAACAATGTATTCTGAGGCGAGTTGCCCCGCTCCTGTTCCATGTGTCGAAGACTGATGGCATTTCGGGCAGAACGCATTCTAACCTACCTGGGATGCAGAACTTATCTGGAACCCCTTGCAACAAACAATGTATCCCCCCCCGCGCGCCGCGACATAAGAAAATCACTATGCGCCCCATTACTGTCCTCACTCACCTAGAGGAACCCCAAACATCCACCACATGGCCACCAATACACTTCCTGGGTGGGATTAAAGCAACCCAACTGAGGAAGCGCCGCGCTCCATTTCCCTATCGGAAACGCGGTCTTTTTCTATCGCTAGCGCTTCTCTTTCTCTCTCGCTACGTCATTAGCAGGGAGCTTTGCAGCCAATAAAAGATCCCGACACAGCAAGGCCTCTGGAAAAGTAGAATAAACGGGAAGCCTATCAGCGCGGCTGCATTGTGGGGGCTGGAGTTTCGCTCTCTTCCGATCCGACCAATCATCCCAGCCGGCCAGAGGCGTCAGATAAACTTGGTCTGGTCACGTGGAGCGTGGTTCCCGTCATTCTGTGGGTCAGGTGATTCCCGGTCGCGTTCAGTCCGTTCTGAGGACTCGCCGCCGCCGCCGCCATGTCCGGGCTCGCGCTGCTGTATTCGGGGCTGGGGCTGACCGCGGCCGCCACCATCACCGGCATCGGTTAGTGCTTTGAACGGGGAGCTGGGAACGCCGCTGCGAGGGCCGACGCAGCTTTGCCGAAGTCCTCCTCTCCCCTCCCTTCGCCGGGGCTGTGTGCGGTTATACGCCAAGGAAATGGCTTGTCGTGGGCGGGCGGGGGGCGCAGGGCGCGAGGGAGCCCACCTGGGGCGCTGGGGTGGGATGCCGCCCTCCAGGCTTAGCGAATGTTTTTGGGTGCTTCTTGATCCGCGGTGCTGCCTTGCCCTACCCTAGTTGGCCCGTCAGGCTGTTCTCGGGGCTGGGGGGCGAGGCGACATCCCTGCAGAGGGGAGACTCGCATCCTCCTGCTTGCGCGGGGAGAGCCGTTTTGTCTTCAGGGGGTGGTCTGGAAGATACTGTACTTGGTTCTCCTTGTCCATGACCTTCTCATTGGGAAGGTTTCCGGAGGGGCCCTCGCATGTGGGTTTCCCACGGCAGGCCCACCTCTTGTCGTTCTCCACATCCTTGGTCTCAAAAATAAAAATAGTTTAGGAGACGACTCCAGATTTCCACCATATTGGGCTCTGTGGTGCTCAGTTTGATTCCTCATCTGTGAAAGCAGCGAAAAGGCGAGGGGTGGGGAAAGGCTTTCTTAATGGCTGCTCAATGCTAGTTGTGAATTTTGATGCTGTGCACACCAATGGCATTTTGATGTCTGAAAGTAGATCAAAAGAAGTGCATTTGGAGGAACTTTCTAAAAGTGCAGTGTTGTTTCCTTTTCTTGTGTGGTGAAATTTGAGCAAGGGCTAGAGTGTGTAGCCTTGGAACCAGGGGACCTGTGGCAGAGTCTGAAGCTGCTGTCCCTTGGTTATCTTTGGTATCAAAGCAATTGCACTTTAATGAACTCCTGACTAGCTACGTAACTGTTTATACATTGACAGGATTACTGGGTCTTAATGTTGATATATATCTTTTCCTTCACCACCAAACATTGGTTTCATTGTTCATCATGGTTTCGATGTTAATCATCATAGCATTGGTAAGAAGTTCTGCATGTGCAGATCTATGAAGGAGACTTGGCTCACCAATAGCCTGGATTCATTCTTGCTGGAGAGATATTTGCATTTTCTGGTAGTCTCTACATTTGTTCAGGTGATAATTTGTTCTTGGTGAGCCCATGCAGGTATGCTGCGTCCTTATTCTAAACAAGGAACAATTTAGAAAGTCCTCCATCATGAGTTGAATGACATATTTGTTCTTGTGTTGTGTGGTTGCAATTTATTGGGAACCAAAAAAGCGTTAACACTGTTGGGGGAAATGTGATGAACCATGCAAAGGGTGCACAGTGGACTCTCCCCACCCCCTTGGGTTTGTTTTGTCAACAAGCTTTGGAGCAGTTGTCCTACAACAGTCCTGTCCCAGCTCTCTGGGAGCTGTTGGTGGCTTCAACTGGATTAGCCCAGCTGATTTGGTTAAGACTTCACCAGTCAGGGTTGAGGAATGACAAACAGGAAACTAAGCTCTGACCTTCTGATTCAAACCCAGTTCCTTTAAGGTCATTTTACCAATTGGACACAGACCTTGCTTAGAAGCAGAGAGTTTCTTACTGGTTCCTGTTGGGACTAAGCAGTCTGCTCACGTATACCACTCTACTCAAACAGTACTCCATTTCCTTTTCTCCTTCTTCCTTATATCTTATTTGCAGCTAGGGTTCTTCTGCCCCCCCCCTCTTTTTGCTACTTTTCCAGTGGTAAGTGTGACTCTTAGTTCCTCTTTCAGATCAGCATGGATGGGAAGAACAGAACTTCTCCTTTTCTAGCCATGATTACTAAAGCTGTACCAGGGAGGAAGTTAACATTTTCCTTTCTTTTCAGTAGGATGTGAGCATAGATGCCTCATGGTGGGTCTCTGAGTATCGGCCTGTCTTGGCTTCTGTGGACCCTGCCCAAGCATGATTCTGTTATTACTTTGGGGCATTCATTCACCTGAGCTAGGGTTTGTCAGACGGGTGGCTGGGGACTGTGGGCAGGAAGGAATGTGCTCCAAGTCAAGATCTCTTTCCTACAACAGTACTTCAGTGTTCTGCCTCATGACTAAACTTATTGGAGAGGAAGCAGAGCAGAGCACCACTTGAGTGAATAAATGATGTATGTAACCGTACTGGGGGGGGGGTAGCCTGTCATTTGACCTTGCTACTATAGCGAAGAAGCAGTGTGATGAATGGAGGTTTATTCACTGTGCTGTCTCTTCTTTTTTATGGTAGCTTTGGGCAACTGTTGTTGCAAAACAGTGACTTAACTTCTCAGGTGTGATTGAATGATTAATAACTTTGAAGAGTCTTAAAGGTTTTGGATCTTAACCCTTAGGATCACAATCTTTAATGTGAAGGATTTACTGAAAAATTATTCTCTCTAGGTTTTATGCTCGAAACACTGTGACATTTTTATTTTTTCATCATTGTTAAACGATCAATAAGATCAGTTGTACAGGCCAATTCTCAAAGCATCAGCAGAATCATGGCTTCACTGGTCAGTTTGCTGTTGTGCCAACTCTACTTTGTGTAATAAACTACACTTAACTTGGTTTTCCATAGTGTCCACTAACAATTTTGGGACTTTGTCTGGGTGGGGGAGTTAATTTCCCCCAAGAATTCTTGTAGCTTTAAAACTTTTTAAATGCACTGCATACAAGGGTGTCACTCATGTCTTCTGGCAGGATGATGAACCATTTGGTCTTGGACTTAGAGGTAGGATAGGTTTGTGTTGCTTTTTATACTATCTGGCCCAAATTTTAAGAGGGCTCCTGTACCTCTAGGAGTTTTACAGAAAGTAATGTATTTTCATCAATTGCTTCAGCACTGCATTGGGTAAAAGAACTCTGAAAAAATGCTACCTGTATCCTGAAATAACGCATTCCAAAACAGGATTGGGCCTGAAAGTGGTAGTTTGCTTCCTTTCTTTGCAATTGCATATTCCATCCTTGCTATGTGTTATATGCTTGTAATAGAAATCAAGGAGGGGAAAAGTGAATGAATACTACTGCAAGGGTAAAAAACATTAATTGTGACACTTCAAGCAAGAGACAAAAATCTGGAGCTGGTCCTATTGGAAGTAACATATCAAGATCATCATTGTGGATCTGAAAAGTAGAGACCAGACCTCTGGGTGGCAATCTTTAGCCCACTTCATGTTAGGCCTCACAAGGTGCCATGGAATTTTCTCCCCTTCTGAAAGTATAGAAAGAGACTCTCCAGTCTACTGAGTGTATTCTCTACTGCTTATAGTACAAATTGATTTGGAATATAGAGAGGGATTGTCCTAGCCAGTATCCACTGAGAAAGCAGTGAACAAATCCACATAAGGACAGGAAGCTTCTTTTGCCAGCTTGCTTCACACTTTTCTTGTGAAGAAAAGTAGAGGTGTCCTTCGGGTTCATTTTTGGCCCTTGGGTTCTCCTGCAGTATGTAAAGAAGATCCTTCAAGCAGTGTCAGTAAACTACCGTTCAGCTGTGCTTTGTCTTATTGTGCCTTTCCATTCCTGTATTCCTCCATTGTTGAGATGCCTTCAGATACCTGATTGCTGACTTCAAAGTTCACATTGTCTTTTTTTTTTTAAATAAATTTTTATTAGGGTTTTTACAATATTACAAAATGAAAAAGAAAAAATACAAAATAAAAATAGTTAAAAACAAATCAATCTTTTCATCACTTATTTTTCATTTACTTGTTTCCCGGACCTCCTCATACCTCCCTCATACTCTGGTTTCTCTTCAGATCGTATAAATCTTTCGCCTTTTTACAAAGTTCACATTGTCTACTGTTTCTGAATGATGCTGTTGTAGTACGTGAGGGTAGCTAGAATTACTGATATGTTTTCCTGCCCTGTTGTAAAGACTTGGGATGGATTACAAGAACCCCTCTTTTTTAGTAGGGTGCTTGCACTCAGTGGGATATGCCAAGGTTGCCCACCACCCCTAGGATGTTTTAATTAATGCTGCTTAGCATGAAGCCATTGGTAAGGAGAATTTTGAGCTAATATTTGCCCGATTTAAAATTTGCTTGTAAATCACTATGCATTAAAATATAGCTTTGGTATAATATAATAAAAATGTAGCTATATTTTATGCAATAAATTATTATAACCAGAGAAAAAGCTTTAATTTATGCTAGTTGATCTAATTTTCTACATTAGAAAGGGGGACCATAAGTTCTCAAATTGTCCCATTTCTTTGTCTACTTTTGCTTAATTATACTATTTCTCTTTAATTTCGTTACTGTAGCAAGATACCAAATTCTATTAAACCATTCTCATTCTGTTGAAATGATTGGAATATACCATTTCACTTCCAAAATATATATTTTGGCAGTAACTAATAAAACCCAAATAAATTTCCATGTTCTGATCTCATATCTTCATTAAGATATTCCAGAAATTAGCAGATTTATAAGTATGTGATATGCAATTATAATTATACAGTGGTATCTCGGGTTAAATAGTTAATTCGTTCCGGAGGTCCGTTCTTAACCTGAAACTGCTCTTAACCTGAAGCACTACTTTAGCTAATGGGGCCTCCTGCTGCTGCACCGCCGGAGCCCGATTTCTGTTCTTATCCTGAAGCGAAGTTCTTAACCTGAAGCACTATTTCTGGGTTAGCGGAGTGTGTAACCTGAAGCGTATGTAACCTGAAGCGTATGTAACCCGAGGTACCACTGTATAAATGCATCTAGTGGTCTTTCCCACCAAATTCCTAATTTTGTCTCATGTCCATCAGACATTAATATAACCCGCAACTGTTTCCCCACATTTCCAATATATTCCACTAACACCTTGTTGTGTCTTTGGTTATATGTTTGGTGAATATTCAAATATAATTTGATGTTTGTGGTATCATTTATTTTAAAAAAATTAAACTGAATATAATCTGCAACTTTGGGCAGTGATGTTATTGACATAACACCAAGCTGTATATGTTGTTAACTAAATGAACAGGTACTACTATTTTGGGTTTAGTTAATATTGACACATTTTGGTGGAGTGGATGGTTAAACAAACTAGATTTGAATTTAGGCAAGTTGAAGATAGTTCTGGTAGATAGTTCTGGACTGGTAGCAGCCCTACCTCTATTAGACAGCAGTGACAGTCTCCACATCAAACTAGTTAGGTGTCTAGAAGTACCCTTAAACCCTGTCTTATTTTTTTGACAGGCAGGTTTGGGGGTTTCCAGGAGCACCTTTAATCAACTGCATCTATTGTGTAGCTGTGTAGCTTTCTGGAGAGGAAGGCTCTAGCTATGCTTTTTGATATTTTGTAACCAGTACTGTAGTGTGGATCTTCCAGAAATTTTTCAATTGGATACCTTTCTGGGAAACTTTCTTATGCTATTAGGATAATTTACACTGTAGATAATTCAGTTTGTGTTGGAAACTTTTATTACACTCCCAAATTAGCATGTTCATTTTTCTAATATTTTGTAAACAAGGCAAAAAAACTTGGGCATTGGCAAGCTTGCCTGTGTTTGCAGTTGGCATCCAACTTACAAAATGGGGGGGGGGGATTCCACAGCAAAATAAATCACTGGTAAATTTTCCATTCCATATCTTGGTTTGTAACTGCCGGGTTTGACCACTTTTTGTAAGGAAGACTGCAAAGTGCAGTTAATACAAAATGGCATCAGATTATATCTTATGCTAACTCTCTCAGTGTTGGTGGCATGGCTTGGCAAGGAAGGATGCTATGCCACACTCCCCTCTTCTCCAACCTTCACCTGGGTTGCTCCAAAAGAAGACTTTGCCTTCATGGGGCCCCGTTCTCCCCTTGTGCATAGACTATTAACCTGCACAGCATACAAATTTGAATAGATTCTGCCCCTAGTTCTTACCTAAATGTTAGGAAGAGTGTAGCTCTCCCTGGGTGTATATGCCCATTATCTCTCTCTCTCTCTCTCTCTCTCCACTGTTGCTTTCAAAGCCTGCATGTGCAGGGAAAGGCAGCAGGCTGTCGGCTCCTGGTGCCAATTTTTTCTGAGATCAGAGTCTGCTGCTGCTGAGTGAAGGGTCTGGAGTTGGCAGTGCCTGGGGCTTAAAGCTGTCGCTTGGAGCAGGCTGCACACCTATGAGCAGATAGGCTTCTGCTCACGGGGATGTGAATATGACCCTGATGAGCTCTGAGCCATTGAATAGAGTCTTCAGTTTCCTGACCCACTTTCTTCTGCTTCCCCATACATGGTTAATTCTACCAGACTTGTTTTTGGTGTGGTGTATTATATCTACAATGTCTACTGATAGGGACTTCACACCCTCTGTTGAACTGCCTTGTTGTCTAACACTTCCTAATGTCAACGCTATTTTTAAAAAATAGATCAAAGGGTCACCCTACTTGCATTCTCTCTTTAGTTATTCTCCATGGGAGCCAATCTATCCTTTCTTCCCCAGTTCTGTGGCTCATTTGTTCTCTATCCTGCCCCATGATGCTCTGTTTCTGCAGCCTTGCTCTTTCTTTCTCAGCTCCTTCCCACCTCTGTGTCTGTCTGTGTCTTTTTTCACATTGTCAGGCTCACAGGAGGATAGTTCTGCCTGGACCTCGCAAGTGGAACATTTGCATCCTGTGACTGTCCCATCATATTCTATTCATATATCCTGAAATACAGTTCCCATCATCATGTCATTGACTCATCTTCTTCCACTCTGCTTCCCAGTCTGAGGTTGCGGGGTGATTTTCCCTTCCTGTCTGCAGTATGTGATGCTGCTAACTTTTTCACAGCTGGTTTTCTTCCCCATGCATGTTCTTCATCCAGCCCTTTAAAAGGAGAAAATGGTTTATGGATGAAAAAAGGCCCCTAGAGCCAAGATTGCTGTGGATGTGAAGGTACAGCATTCTTGCTTATCTAAGAATGAAAGCTGCTGGGGATCCTTTTGGTATTGTTAATAATAATAACAACATTTATCAGTCACTTTATGCAATAAAAAGTCTCAAAGCAACTTGACAAATTAAATTACAACACCATTTAAAGCCAGAAAAGTTTAAAACAGCGAGAATATATAGTACATAAAATGCACATTCATCAACAAATTAATGAGGACCAAGTCCTACCCACCCCACTAAAAGATGGGCACCACCATAGGAGGCAACATTAATTAACCAAAGGTCTTGGCTTGCTGCACCTAAAAATTGACAAAGATGGTGACAGGCGCATCTCCCTAAAAAGAGCATTCCACAGGTGAGGCGGTTGGGAACATCACAGAAAAGAATGACTGATTATAAAAAGACTTCATGAATAACTTTGCTTATTTGGGTTAGTCACGAGTAGTGTCACAGATGGATGTGCTTCAGACTGCAGCAGTTAGATAACATTTTTCATAGCAATGCCCATTAGGGCTACCACAAAGGGGCCGTGCCCTTCCAGTTAGCTGTGTGAACATGGGGATTTTGTTTTTTATACATAAACATAATATTTCAATGAATATTAAACTAAGAAAGATTTTCATTTATACGTACAGAAAAAATGGGGCGGGGGCAGAAAAGCGTTTCCATTACTGCACACAGTAAAATCAGCAAATCTATAGACATAGATTCATTAAGCATTATATTAAGTCACTCTGCTCCATATTTATTTTAGGAATTGCAGTACATCATTTCTCCTGAAAGCCAACATTTTGGCTAGATAAGATGATTCCCAGACTGTCACTGATCCTTCCCTGATGATATAGATTGTCCTTCCCATTGTTTGGCATAAATCAACTTTGCAGCAACCAATAAATTTGAAATCAGCTCATGCAATCTTTCGCATATTCTTCTGTTACATAATTCAAAAGAGGGAGGATCAAATGGCAGCTACATTTCATTTTATCAGTCCCACTAGCATTTCCCAAATTCTCTAGTTCTTATACAATTCCACTACCTGCAGAGAAAATGTTTTTTCCCCTGATGCTAAAAAGGTACCCAGTATCTGGTTTACACATTTCTGTGGCATAAGATGCCACTGAATTGCCATGTTATAGCAGTTTCCCCTTAAATTCAAGCACAACGAAAACATTGACCTTTCTGTAAATAAAAATGTCTGCACTTCCACAGAATTTTTTAAGTTTCTTTTTCAGTTTGTCATAAAAGAATTTGACCATATGCACTAATGGAAGATGAAACAAGGGTGGTTGGTTGTTTTTTTTAACCGGAGTTCATAGCCATTATCTCTCTGAACATTGCATTTTCTTTTTGTAGAGTCAAATTATGAATATAGGGATAAAAGGCCATATTCTCTGCCTCCAAGATACCTGTGACTTCTTTATAGGCGATCATAGGAGATCTTCGTTACATTTTTCCAGTAAACTGAAACTTTCTAAATATTGATAAAGATCTAAATCACTTGTTACCCAAGCCAATGTGTTGTATCAGGAGCTGTTGTTTAGATTTTGAGGATAGATATAGACAATGATACATTAATGATAGGTGGAATGGTTACATCTCTTGAGTTTTTCTATAACTGCCAATTGTGTCATTAGGAAGCTTCCATCATAGCTACACAGAACATCCTGCCCATACATTGGTGGCTGTTATCTCGTCTTTGGCTGAGCCTAGCTTCTGCATGGGGCTGGCAGAAGTTGAAAGTGATTGTTTGAGGTCCAAGGTGTTGTATTCCTATGTGGGTCAGTGCTGCAGCACTCAGAAGATAAAGAGTGAGGTAGCCAGTATGGTACCCCAAATGTTATTTTTGCACTACTGACTGGAGATGATGAGAACTGGAGTTGCACAGCATCTAGAGGATGCTCACATTGGCTGCCCTGGAACAGAGAGGGGCAAGACTTCCTGTTAGTGCTGAAAGGATTTTAAAAAGTGTGCTGGTAGGAAGCCTGTAGGATAGGAGTCTTTTTCTGACTCTTATTTCTGACTCGTATGTAGTGACCTTTTGGGTCTTGTTAAACAGAGCACAACAGAAAGGAATAAGTGATAGTTTCCCCATGAAAGAGGTGATTTGGAAAGGGGCAATTTGTGGTGTAAGCTGTATGAAGACACTATAAAGCCCACCCCCTTTCTGCTCGCCCTGTGGGGGGTTCGGCACCGGTGGCAAGGTGTGAGCATCACAGATTGGGCTTTGAGGAGACCAAGACAAAAGACGGAATCATTCTGTGTTTCTCTTGTTTTTCAGGAATCTGCTACACAATATTTGACCTTGGTTTCCGTTTCGATATAGCATGGTAAGATGGCACTTTTTCCTAGAGGCTGGGGTTGGAGTAGCATGGGGAACAGTGGCTTATTGGTGTTTTCAGCAATATATTGGGGAAGAGAGCATGAGGGAAAAGCAGTAATTTGCCTTCACGTTTTCTTTTCCATTCATGTGAATTACTGAAAGCCCAACAGTGCTCTGCTCTGAGGAGTGGTAGGCAGGCAGACGTTTGCATGGTTGCTTCCACAGGCAGGGCGTGTCTCTCCCCCCCCGCCCCTTCCCCTGTTGGTTGACAACAGTATTGATGGCAGTGTCCCATTTCACTAGTCGATGCTGCTAATTGCCTCATTTTGCCTGCAGGTCAGCTGGCTGCCTCTCCTCTTCGCCTGCTGTTGCAAGCCACTTGTCCCTGTGCTTAGCTAGGTTACAGGCCCTGTGCTGCTCAGATTCTGTTGGCACATCCGCACACACATCTTGAACATTTTTGGAGCACCTTTTTCTGTGCTTCTGGACCATTGCTTGAGCCTGAAAACAGATGCTTCTCCATACACCCACTAGTCTTAATGGTATAGGATTAGTGGTCTTGAGGACTTGCCGTGACCCATATCCTGCTTCTGCTAGTTCAAGAGCTAACCAAAGAGTGCTGTATTGAACAGCATCTTAAGCAAGTCTCTAGCTCACCCTGCTTTCATGGACCTCCTTTCCTGTTGGCTAAACTAGCCTAGGGTTGCTTGGGCTCAGCACAACTTTTCTACAGTGTTGTTTTGTAGCCCAAACTATAACAAATAACACCTTTCCTAATGGTTAATGAAGTCTCCTAGTTACTGCTAAAGAGGCAAGGCCTTCTGGCTGCCACCCTGGGCAGCAGGTGTTAGTTCTCTTTTACCACTTACCAATTGTGCAGGATGGGTAGACTGACCTGACCAAGTTCTGTCCAGAAATGGGATGGATTGGTTTGACTAGGGCTGCTTCTCCCCTGCGGGTGCTATGACTTGATGCTATGATGGAGAAAGGAATAGAGTATTCATAAGGTAATTCCTCCTATGTACAGGTTCCTGACAGAGACCTCGCCATACTTGTGGTCCAACCTGGGCATTGGGCTGGCCATCTCATTATCAGTGGTGGGTGCTGCCTGGTGAGTACTTCATCTCTCCCAGCCCCTAACGATCTGTTAATGGACATCATTCCTCAACCAATACTGCTGAGCCCTACTTTGGGCTTCCATTTTGGGGGGTTAGTCCCAAGGCACAGTCTGAGGGCACATGATGCAGCCACTTCACCAAAGGTCTGTGTCTGGTCAGTGCCTGGAGGGAGATCCCCAAACTCTGCCTGGACCCTGGGATTGTCATCTGAGACCCTTTTCTGCCTGATGCATCAAAGGCAGACTCAAAGAGTGGTGATGAGAGAAAGGCCCTTTCTGAAGCTCCCCAACTATGGAGTGTGGCAGCAATTCTGTCATAGTTCAAGTACCGGACAGATACAGTTTTGTTTCCCTGGGCATTTGGGAAGCACCAATGATTGGATATTCCCCTTACTCTGCCTGCATTTTTAATATGCTTATGTGTTTTCATTACTGTATTCTATGGATGTAAATCACCCTGGGAATTTTGGGATTCAATAAACCCTGGGCATTAATGCTGGGCATTAATGAATAATAAAATGATTTTGGCAGGGTGCAATCTAAGCAAGCCGCCCCCCCCCTTTGCTGCCTATCAAGTACCACTCCTCCAACTGCTTCTGTAACTATTTTTTCAGGGGCATTTACATTACTGGATCCAGCATCCTTGGCGGTGGTGTCAAAGCACCTAGGATCAAAACCAAAAATCTGGTCAGGTGAGAGGACCCTCATGTTCAGCATATATTCCACAGGTATAGGTACTGCAAAGTCCAAAAGCTCACTTGCCCATCCTTGATATGCCTTGTTTCCTGCTGCACAGATTAAAAAAAATTGTACATCCCTGAATTGGGGACCCTCAATGCTTGCAGGGCAAAAGATGGAACTGGGCACAGCAAAATACAAAGAAAAAGCAAATAAATAAAACCCCCTCTAGTTCAGTACATTACCTGTTCCTCACCCCTGGCTTAATGGGTGGGGTGTGAGAATAGGGGTGTGAGCACCTTGTGGAAGGATCTGCTTTGGGCCAGGCTTTGCCTGTGCTCAGAAACACTCTGCCTTAAGTCTCAAGCAAAGACTTTAAACAAAAGAATCAGCTTTACTTTTGGGAGAACAAGGTGTGCTCTGAAACTTGCTGCTTCCTTGGTTACCTGGTCCTTCTCAGGCTGCTGCCTCATCTGCAAGGTTACCACCTCATTCCTAGCTAGCCAGGGGAAGGAAGGAGGTGGCTGGGAAGCCAAGGAGGGTGCCCAGCGGTAGATGTGCCATTGGAGGCCAGCCCATTCCTCCCTCTCTCGTTCCCTGGTCCCATGCCCACATTGTCACCCTTGAGATGTTGCAGCTGCTAATCTGTGTTTTCTCCTGGCAGCATCATCTTTTGTGAAGCTGTGGCCATCTATGGAATCATCATGGCCATCGTCATCACCAACATGGCTGAGGTAATGGGGGGGGCAGGGGCTGGCTTGTATGGGAAAGACACGGTTGTGTGCCAAATCTCGCTCTTGGCCATGCTCCATGGTATCTGATTTGAAGGGAGCTGAGCTGTTGCCAAACGGAGGAGAGCAAAGAAGGTAATCAGAGAGGTATTGATGGAGTCCAGGCAACTGTGGAGCCAAGTGCTATGCTGGGTAGAAGCCTAGTTGCAGGAGGCAATCCTGGCTCATGCCTCTGAGCAAAAGTTTTCTATCCTTGTAGGGGAGAACAAGCCCTGACTAATTGCTCTTGAAGCAGGGGCTGGTATCGACACAGGGACATAGTATTGACATAGAGAGAAAGAGGAGTTATTTTCACCTGGGATAAATCCCACTACTGAGCCATGGATTGCCCAAGACCTTGGAGCAAGGTTAACCTGCATCTGGCAGATGTTTAGAGTTATGAGCTTATGAGGAATGAGGCACCTTGGTGGGCTGCAGTCCTCTCACCTCCCTTTCCCCCTGCTGTAATTCTGAAAAGGGTACGAGTTTATTTCAACTCAAGTCTGGATAGTTCCTATCTACAGTGACGTGCCTTAATGCCACATCTAATGTCTTTGTCAGAGAGTTGCTTACTAAAATCCTTCCTTTCCTTACAGCAATTTACGGGCAGAACCCCTAAGGCGATTGGCGCCCAGAACTACCATGCAGGTAGGCTGGGTTTGTGGGGACTGGGGATAGGCAGGCATAATGGTTCTTGCCCTTGCGATATCATCAGGCGCCCCTTGTTACGTAGGAAACCTAGGAGGCTGTCTTATAGCAAGTCAGCCCATTGGTCCATCAAGGCCAGTGTTCTCGACACTGACTGGCAGCAGTTTCTCAGGGGCTGTCAGCCCTACTTAGATGCACCAAAGATTGAACCTGGAACCTGCTCTACCTCTGAGCTGCAGCCCTTCCCTAGTTGAATTGTGCCTTGGCACAAGTTCACCTGCAGCTTTTTTCCAATAGGCCACCAAACATTGTCTGACAAGCAAGGGGGTATATGTATTATCTCCAGTTGGTTTTCTGGCTTTGCAAAGCTCCCTACCGCCATGTTGCAGTATCTGATGTGCCAACTATATCTGTGCTGTCACCCTGGGGTGGTGGGTATATCATCTTTTGTCATCACAGAAGAGACCGACACATCTTGACATGTTTGCTGGCAGCAGCTGTCCTCTTGGATGGCTATAGTGGCAATGCTGTTCTTGTGGCATGCCACAGATGCAAGCCTGAGCGAGGTGTGAGCTGGGCCAAGATGCTGTCTTTGGCTGTATCCTGTCCCAAAGTCTTTAGAATTGTGACATCTAATACCACCCTGTGGCCTGGGAGGCTTTCTAGTGCTCCAGAAATAACTAAATAAATAGTATATAGCCATTGTTCTGCTTAGATAGTGTTACTGTCACCACTCTTTGCTTTGCTGCATTTCCCCTGAGTGAGTCAGGAACACCTTTAAACTTTGTAAATCTGAACCCAGTAGTCTGGTTCATGATTAAGGTGTGGCGAGGGAGGGTGACAGGGAGAGCTTTCTCCAATAAATAAGGAGCCCTTGCACCAGTTGCACTAAATTCCTAAGAACTGGTTTATTTTATTTGTGGATTAAAAGGTTTGCATATAGAAAACAAGGCTTAATATACATAACATGCACCTTTTCTTCCTAAGGAAAAATCGGTTTGTGTGTGGGTTTGGGAGGGAAATTGTTACAATTTCTTGTTACCTTATTTCCATCTGCAGATAATGCATAACAAGGACAGGCTTAGAAGAAAACATAAGGGCCTTCATCCTAACGGTCTCTGAGGCCAGTCTTGTCAGGCCTGCAATGATCATCAACTGAAAATATAACTGGGTGCCGCCCATTCCTAATACTCTTTCCTCCCATAGGTTTCTCCATGTTTGGGGCAGGCTTGACTGTGGGCCTGTCCAATCTCTTCTGTGGTATATGTGTGGGCATTGTGGGCAGTGGTGCAGCATTGGCAGATGCCCAGAATGCCAGCCTCTTTGTCAAGATCCTCATCGTGGAAATCTTTGGCAGTGCCATCGGACTCTTTGGAGTCATCGTGGCTATCCTGCAGGTGAGTCTCTCCGGCCTTGCTATCCCCAGACAGTCTTGCCCATTCCCACCTCCTAAGCAGAGGTAGAAGGAAGAATTTAGAGAGGATGAAGGTTTGGAAATGCCAGTAGTCATGCCTAGACTGCTCTTTGCAGATTAGCGAAACAAAAAAGAATTTCAAAAACTAATTTGTTCCTTCAAAGGGGCTCTCATCTACTCTTAAGTTGCGCCCAATATTTACTGGTTCGGTAGGTTAGGTAGTTATCTCGCGGTGCTGGTGTTGCTTTAAGGAATCCCCAAGCCATCCCTGCTTCAGGGCAAGGAAGAGGCAAGGCCTTTAATGGGTGTGTGTGGCTCAACCTTCAGCCTTCTTCAATGACAAGAAGCTTCCCCGTCCATAAGATCTACTATGGCTCTGTCTCTTCAGCCTCCCTCTCCACAACTATTGCCCCTCACTTTTGGCTGCTGCTCTGTGCACCTGTCCTGAACAGCCATATTTCCTCATGATCATGTACAGGTGGATGCATTTGCAGTGTTAAAAAGCTGCTACATGCGACAAATATGATAGCATGCCCAGTTTGCATTTCACAGTCTGTAATCGGTAGTTAATGGTTTACTGTGAAGGCACAGAAGGCTCCCAATTTGCTCCTCCCTTCTAGTCAGCAGGAGCAACAAATCACCATTCCTGGCCTGGGGGTTGCTGTTTGTTTCACTCCAAACACTCTTAAGCCAAAAACAAATCCTGGCATTATTCTTGGCAATAGTGGGGGTACGTAGGGGAGCTTAATTCATGGCCCCTGTGTTTTCTTACCTTCTCTCCTTTTTGTCTTTTGCAGGTGTCTAAAGTGAAAATGGGCGACTAAGCCCTTTGCCACCAGCCTGTCTGCCAGCTGCAGACTCTGTACATATTTATTTAATGTCTTCTGTTGGCTTGGGATGGAGCTTGGTGTATAAATTTATTCCCGTGATCTTTCCCTGCAAGGCCGTGGAAGAACCTGACCAATTGGTGTGTGTGTGAGAAAGAATCTGTCCTCCTTTCCTTCCATCCTTTCCTGCTCCACTTCCCCTGAAAGAAGGGGCTGGATGGACCTAGGAGAAGGAGCCTAGAGTCTTCCAGCCCTTGCACTCTTTGTGGCAACCACTGCCAAAAGCAATGCCATGTTCTGTGAAATAAACTCATCCGTGTCCCAAGTAGTTTCCCTTCCTTGTGCGCCCCGTGCTGCTGTGCCCCTCCTGCTACCCCGGCTCCTGCTGCCTCTCACAGTCCACATTTTCTGGAACAGCCAGTGGTACTGGCTGAAGATTTGGCTCTGCAGGCTATGGGAGGTGCCCTCCTAGGCACATCTGTTCCATACTGAAGGGGTGCATAGGAGCTAAAAGTTGTGATTTTTTGAGTTCCCTGAAACTTCACAAATGATTGGTTAATTAAAATTAATTATGGGAAATGTCTTGTATTGTGATTAATAGTTGCTGTTTCTCTGTGGTGTGCCTGCTGTTCATCAAACTGCTCAATGCAGGGGTGGGCAAACTTCAGGCTTATCTGATTGTCTTTGTTTCTTTAACTGGAATCCAAAATCTACTAACCAGGGGCAAAATATAGATTATTATTTTTAGAAGGGTCCTCTGAGCCCATTTTGAATCCTAGGAATTGGTTTTCAGTACTAGAACGGAGCTCATAGTCCTTTTGCCCAAGTCTTCTCATGCGTAACTTTCATCATTTCAGCGGCCAAATTTAGATGGGAAAGGTCATTTTGTTATTTCCTTTAGACAACTGATAGTTGAAAAGCCCTGCTGATTGATTGCAAATCACTCAGAGGTTTGATAGAGCCTGTGAGGTAGCCGTAACTGGCCCAAGGTCACCCAGTGAGCTTCATGACTTGAGTGGGGATTTGAACCCTGAAGTTTTAAACTGTTGTAAACTTTAAGGGTTTTTTTTCCTTTATAATGTGGTATAGAAATGAAATTAATCATCATCAACATCATCCCTGAGAAAGAAAATGAGACCTGGACATTCCATTGTGGCAGCCACAACCTAGATTTAAATTACCATTTAGCGATTAGCTTATATATCTGAGTTTCTACACTGGACCCCCATGGATTGGAGGTTCCCTCTCCCAGGGTAAAGAGTATTCCTGCTACCTCTTCCCAGAGGTGGGTAGTTTTGCCGTCCTAGGACCATGAAGCATATTAATTTACAAAACTGTATTTGTATCCTATCTTGGGAGTTGCCAAAGGCAGCTTTCAGTTAAAGCAAAACTTAGCTGAAAATTGGAAGCCAGAGAGTCACATTGCAGAAGGGGAAACACTTCTTATGGTAGGATGAATCTAAAGATCTTATAGCTTAAGCCCTGAGCAGGATTTACCATCTGTAATCCAATCCCATGCCAGCCTTACCTGGTAACTGTAAGGGTGGGAGGGAAAAGCTGGATTCCAGGCAGCAAAATTTGTTATTTTCCCTGCAAAGTTTAGATAGTCAAATGGGGGGGGGGATATTGTGATATATTCTTATTTTAAGGAATATATAAAAAAAGAAAACTGATTCTGTTTGTTTGTTATTTCATTATTTACAGCAAGTCTTCACTGTTCTGATTGGCTCAGTGCTTTTGGAGAGCAACAGAGCTGTGCTTATTTTTCTACAGGAACTTAAAAAATTATGTGGCAGGGTGTTTAGTGTCACCTTTTGGGTTTCTTGCTGGGACAGAGCCCCACCCTGGGAGATTTCCTGAAACACTTTTGACAACTGTATATTTAGCCTCTTTTCCACGTTTCCCACTACTCTGAGTACAAACACTTGAATTTACATGTGTGAGCCATTCTGCTGTTTGTTCTGAAGGCAAAGATGTTCCTGTGGGACACTCTCGGCACTTCTCAATGACATAACTGGTGTTCATCTAAATAAAGCTTTTAAGAACATTGCTAGTGGGGCAAGATCTGACCCGTATAAGCCAGAGCAGGGCTACCAGATGGGGTTGCATGTTCCCTTGCTCTCCATAATTTGATTGTCAAACTGTAGCTTTATCAGCATGTGGTTATAAAAGTCACCAAAGGATAGAGAGCATCATCTTTATGTTGATGATACCCCAATGCTCTCTCATAGGCTGACCGAAATGGATTCATTTAGTGTTTAAAAAATGATGTAGGTCAGGTGGTGGAAGAAGCCCTCCAGTAAATGGCTCTGTCAAGGACGTTTCCTTCAGTTCAGATCTGTACATGTTTTGATAGCTAGATGTGATGGCTTGTGTAAATTTAGAGGACATAGAGCCTCAAATTTCAGTTCAGCTTGATAACTGACAAGCCTAACATCTTGCTGTGGGGCAAAACGGATTTCAAAAGACAAACATTGTTTTGTCTAGTGCCACATACATTCTTTCCTGGTGATGTATTTACAAAATCTTTCCTATTTAAAACATATAGGACTATAACAATATGTCCAGAATAGCCTTAACACAAGTTGCAATAGGTGGGGGTGATGGATTTATTTTCCTAACCTTTAAGCTGCGCTACAAGACTTACCTGCTTTTGAATGCAGCCCGGTGGTCCCTGCACAACATTTCTTAAGCACTGAGATATGTATAACAAGTCTCTTCAAGGTCTGCATCTCAGTTACTTGTGATGGCTTCGTTTGCCTGCAGTTCATACTCTTAATGTTCTTCTCATTGTGATTGCAGCTCAGGGGGGCATTGCTTTACATAGATAATAACTCAAAATTTGACCTGTACACGTAACCTCAGGTCCTAGATTTTGCATACCCCACTTCTGTGTATTTGAATACAGTCATTGGGTGAGAAGTCAGTACCACAAGATGAATCTTGATCCAAACAAAACACCTACATTCTGATTGCCATATGTGAAATCATAGTAACTATTCACTGTTCCAAGAAATGGGTTAGTTTGGCTTTATTCTCATTGGAAATATGCCGGAGAAGTTGTGAGGGTTCCTTCAGATCAGGGCAGGTTGCTGTTCTGTGGCATGGGTAGGGCCTGCTACACTGTAGCTCCACATTTCCCCCCTCAAAACATGTTGCGGTTAGTGCCTTGAGGTGGCTTATCTTGCAGAGGCATAACCCTGGCAAGCCCATTGCTTTTTAGGAACCTTACACTGGCCTTGTGTGTTTCTGTGGTGCTGCAGATAATTCTCTCTATTTAACAAATGTGTGTCCTGCCCTGTCTGCTATGTGCCAGGCTGATGGTAATAAAAGCAGCTTAAAAGAAGAACAGATTCCGATTAGTGAACAATGGAAGTGGCAGCACAATCAAATGCTTGAAAATAAAAACAGCAGCAAACTACAAAACACTTCAACTGATATTTAAAAGGCTAGGAAAATAAAAAAAGTCTAGGAAATTAAAAGGCTATGTGCGTCACATCAAAAAGGCATTGTAGTTGGCACTAGGTGTGCTTTCTTGGGAAAGCATTCCAGTGATGTGCTAAAATGGTGAAGGCCCTTTCTGTAGTCCCCACCTGCCACCTGCTGTGTTTTTTCCTACACTGAAATGGTGTTGCCTCCTAGCACTATGTTAGGAGCTGTTGTCCTCAGGAATCTTGAGGACGCTTCTTTCCTTAGTGCCATGAGGTCCTGTGTCTCATGTGGATGACCTCTGAGGCGGTGCAGACTGGGCCTGAGCCTACACAAGGAGTGAAAGTGAAGTCCTCCATTTTTCCTCTCTAGGAGGCTTAAGTACAATCGCAGTGCTTTTGCTGGCTTAGTGTTGGCTCCCTGGGTGATTCTGCCACATCCCTGCAAATCTGCTGTAAGATGCAGAAAATCCACTCACTTTGGATGTTTGTAGAGTGCCCGGCATAAGGAGCCAAGCTGGCTCATCAGACTAATGAGCTGGCAGGGATCCTTGTAGCATCGTGGGTGGGTGTTGTGGGGAGAGTCTTCCAGGATATTTGTATCCTGCCTCCCACTTAATGAGCATGCAAGTTGCTGGGTGTGGTAGGAAGGTAAAGATTACCAGATCGAGGCACTAGGCTGGCATGCAAAGCTGTAAAGAAGCGCTGGGGAGCTTGACAGCTCTCACACAGAGAATAATAAACACATGAGCCCCGCAATATTGCACTGGGACTGAAGGAGCTCAGATGTGCTTGGGCAAGAATGTTGGCATGGCTTGCAGAGTGCCTGGAAGCACTGAACTCATTAGGTTACGTTACATGATAGCTGGAGGGGAAGGCTGGGTGGGGCTGGGTGGCTGAGAGGGGAGAAAAACAAAAGAAGCTCTTTGTTCGGAACTTACAGGGTTCTCCAAATTCTAGTGAGGAACAGACAATACTTCCTGATGATTCTTGAGGGTATTAGGGTGTGGAGATTTTGTAGGCTAGTGTTAATGGCACTGTCTTGGCAACAGCAGCATGGTCCTATTGGCAGAGGTTATAGTTCCCTGGAGGAAAACATGCTTTGCATGCAGAATGCCCCAGGTCCAATAATTAGCATTTCCAACTGAAAAGATACCAAGTGGAGAAAAATAAGAACCTTGGACTGCCACTGCTAAGATAGGCTGTGCTGTCTATTGTGAGTTCTTCCCAAGGCCTACCTGTGTAGTTGCAAGAACAGCCATTCTGAAGTGTAACATACAAACAGGTGGCATTTATTTGCTTGTCTCAGCTCAAAAATGTTCAGGGAGGGTGAGGTTCCATCAGCCCTCCCATAGTTTGCCCAAGTTAAAGTTCAATCCTATTCATTAAAGAAAAGGATACAGAGATGAAATAAAAAGAAAGATGCATTTGTATTAAATATATGTAACTATGACAAGTTCATTGTTCAGATTACCTGGGCCTCTCACCACTGTTAACATGTAGCATCTCTTCCAAACCATATTCTCATTTAATGAGCTCCTTCTTTCCTAGAATGTCCTTTATGAAGAAGGCTTGGTTCATTTCACAGTTACCTGGAAATGTATCTCCACTTGTATCCCAAAAGCATTCTATAGCACAGCTGGAAAGAGAAACTTTGGGAGGAAGGAGTCACAAATTGAACTGAACTTGGGGGGGGGGCAGACAGACCAAACCAAGACAGAGAACATTTGAATGGTCTGTGCCAGATAGGGAGGTGACAGTGCACTAGCAGACACAGGTTGGATAACAGTCTCCTAAACATACGGACATTTTGAGAAACCCTAAGCAAGTTACTACCTTGCTACAGCCGATGAGTTATATTTTATGTATGCTTTATTTTTATTTATTTTGCATATTTTTATTACTGATGTAGTGCTGGAAATGAGGAACCCAAATCCCTGGTGTTAGACACATCTATACCCTACCAAACTCCATGGGTCTGATTATGCACCCCCTTATCCAAGTGATAGCCCAAAGTTATTATTAATACAGAGGTTGCTTCAGGGAGAGGCAACTGCCTCTTGCTGGGTTCTGTTCTACTCCAGCATGCCGAGAAGTGTGATTTCTGTGGGCAGTATTGGCATCACCCTATCATGCCTTTGGCAGCATGAATTTCCCTTGCATCTCCACTTCGTTTCCAAGTTGCCTAACCAAGCACCAACATGGTGACAGACACATTTTACATTTCTGGCTATATAACCCTGCTAAGAGGCTGGTCCTGTGAAGCCACATTTAGTGGAAACATTCAGTTAGCGCTGTCCTGGGGCCTCAGCAGATGTGCTTAGCAACTTGCCACCTGACCATTTATATGCCTAATTCAGAGAAGAGTGGAGAAGCAACAGGGAATGGAATGACCTTCCTCTTTGCTTTTACAGTACCCTAGACTTGAAAGGAATCTTAAAAGCGATTTTTTATTTTTTTTTAATTCTAGAGATTTCCAATTCTGCAGATTGGAAGGAGGCCCAAACTTCCTTGTTTGTTGCATTTCACCAGTTGGGCTCAGGCTCCCTGCTGGTTTTGGTTACCCTAAGTAACATCATATTCTAGCTTAAAACATGGCGGGCAGGACTAGTAAGTGGCCTATGATGAAGCACAGTGCCACAGAAAATGGGTCAGGGTGGCGAGCTCTGTGGAAGGAACAGATGGGCCACCACCCTATCTCACATGTCAAAAACTCACAACCACACAAAACATCATTAATTTTGGAATATCAACTAAATGCCCCTTCTTTTTTAGATGTGGCAACCCAACTCCTCATGTTTGGTGTACCTTTGTAAGTGAGGAGCCTAGATTTCTGCATGCTTGGACCCTGCGTACCTGCTGCTAAGTTCAAAAGTGAGAAAAAGGAGGGAGATTTAGAAGGGAGGGAGATGCATTCTGTATGCAGTCAAACAGGCCGTTCCCTTGTTGCATCTTCACATGCTCCAGAGCCCACGACTGAAAACGTGTGTGTCCCATGGAGCTGAGCCCACAAAGTTTAATATATGCGATTCTATTTATTTTATTTGCAATATGGTGTGTACAGTTGACATTATGGGAAAATATAATGGCGACGAACAGCATAAAACCAACAATAACATGAGATTCACAAAACAAGTACGAAATACATCACAGATCGGCAGAGGAGGTCAATACATCGCTGGTTCACCCCTCAGGTGAGTATCATCACCCCTGGGGGATGAGATTCATGCCTTGGCTGGAGTGCGTGTGTGACGAATGGGTACTCCCCACCCCACCCCCTAGGATCTTCTCCTCTGATCGGGACTGAGAGCCGGCGAGGAACCTGTGATCTCCACCAATCCCGAAGACGCGCTCTCCGCGTTCCCTAATCTCCCACGTGACTTCTTGGAGAGCAGCCCCCCGTCCTGTTGCACTAAACGGGGCTGACGAGGGCGGCGGCGGCGGAGACGGCGGGGGCCCGGGGAGCGGGCTGGCTGGGAATGGCTGGCCGGAGCTGGCAGGGGCGG